AGAGAGAGAGAGAGAGAGAGAGAAAGAAAGAAAGAAAGAAAGGAAAGAAAGAAAGAAAGAAAGAAAGAAAGAAAGAAAGAAAGAAAAAAAAAAAGAAAAAGAAAAAAGAAAAGAAAGGAAAGAAAAAAAAGAAAAAGAAAAGAGAGAAACAGAAAGACAGTCCGGTCAGCTACTGAACAATTCTTGAGCTCTCTGCAGGGCCACAAAACAAAGAAAAATATTAACAGAAAAAAAATATATTTATCAGGGTCCCCAGGAGATAATTTTGATTTGGGTATATAATGACATTTGTGGTTTTTCGTTTTTGTTATTATTTTCGTTTTCTTTTTTATTTCTGTTTTGACTCCTTTTCTTCGGTTGAGTTTTGAGTTCAGTTATCTTGCCCCCTCCCCCATCTGTGTGCCGTGTGACCTCCCCCTCATGCCCTTTACCCTGGGGGGGAGCCTGGCCTGGTGGGCTGGCCCTGGCTTGGCCTCCCAGTGTCGCCTCCCCTTCTCTCTACCGGGGGAGTATCACCTGTCCCCCCTGCGGGGGCAATGGCAGCCCCCCCTGGTGCCCCTTCCTAGAGTCCCTCCCCTCCCCTGCAGCCTCCACCCCCACCGCTCCGTCCCTCTTGTGTTTTGCATGCCGAGAACCTTGCATGGTCTGCTATGTTGAGGCCAGAAGGTAAACACTCAGGAGAGGTAGAGGCAGGGCAGGCGCGGGGAACCGTGTGTGCGATGCTCCGGGGCTGCAGCCCACGGCCTGGGCCCGGTGAAAGCCCTCTCTCCTTTTCTCCCCCCACCCCACTGCCCTCTCATGTCCCCTCCATCCTGCTCCTGCACTCCCCCCTCTTTCTCTGCCGCCCCCTGGCGTCTGTTCCCTGCACCTGTAACCCTCACCCGCGTCCCGCCCCTTCGTGCCCTTCCTTCTCTGCCTCTCTCTCGGTCAGAAGCCCAGCCCGCCCTCACCCAGGGCCCGCGACAAGCCGGTTGCGCCCCCGGGCGGGAAGGACAGCCAGAGCCCGTCGCAGGGCCGCGGAGGCCGCGCGACAGGAGGGGCGGCCAGGCGCCGGCGGCGGCGGAGGAGACGGCGACGATCACGGTCCTTAGCCAACGGTCCCCGCCGCAGGGGTCGCCGGCGTGCCCGGCCCGCGCCGCCCCGGGGCTCCTCCCGCTCGCTCAGCGCCGCTCGCTCCAGCAGCGACTCCGCCGGCGGCGCCCCGGGTCCCGAGCCCGACCCGGGCTCCGAGCGAGGCCACGGTGGACATGCGAAACGGTGAGCCGGCCTCCTGCCCGCTCCCCACAGGAGCTGCCCCTTACGGGTCCCCCACGTGGACCCCCTCATCACCGCAATAGAGCCCCCAACTCGTACCCTTGAGGCCCCATCTCCTCTGGGCCGCACTCCCAGACCCCTGTTGCCATACTCCTAACCTCTGTGCGTCCTTGACTCCCCCCTCGTTTCTAAGCCCCGCCTCGCGCCCCCCCTCTGATCCCCACCTGCACCCCCCCACCTCCAGGTCGAAGGATCGGCCCCCGCGCGCTCGGCCCCCCAGCCCCTCGCCGTCCCCGGGTCCAGGCAGGCGTGGTGGCCCAGAGGGGAACAGCTCGTCGCGCAGCCCAGGGCCCCATCCCGGATCCTGGAGCTCCAGCCGCTCGCCCTCCAAATCCCGCTCACGCTCCCCAGACAAAAGAGCCCGCAGCCCCAGCCGCTCGCCGTCGCCCAAGAAGCCCCTTGGCCGGTGAGTGCCCCGATGGCCGGGAACTTGATCCCGGGGCAGGGGAGGGGTGGGTGGCAGGGAGCCCGGGGCACAGGGCTGGATGGCAGGGACCCGGGGCACAAGACTGGTGAAGGGGACCCTGGCGAAGGGCTGGATGCAGGGCACCGGGGCGCACTGGACGGCTGGACGGCGGGACCCGGGCGCAGGGCTGGATGGAGGGGACCCAGGAGCAGGGCTGGGTGAAGGGGACCCTGGCTCCGGTCCGGATAGAGGGGACCGAGACTCAGAGCTGGATGTCGGGGAATCGGAGACCAGGGCGCAGATGGCGGGAAACCGGACACGGAGCTCAGGTGGCGGTGACTGAGGCCCAAGGCGTGAATGGCGGGGAACCCCTACTTAGGGGGCGGGTGGCGGGGAACCTGCGTTTAGGTGGTAGATGGCTGGGGCCCATGGATGGAGGGGCTCCCTGGCTCAGGGCTCAGATGATGGGAACCAGGGCCGAGGATGAGGGGCTGGCCGCGTCGCTCACCACGGACGGGCCCACAGGGACAAGGACAGCGAAGGCCGTGCAAGGCACGCTGAGGCTGAGGCCGCCCGCACCAGGCGCCGCTCCCGCAGCTACTCACCCATCCGCAAGCGGCGCCGTGACTCACCCAGTTTCATGGAGCCGCGGCGCATCACCAGGTACAGAGAAGCCCTCGGGGTGGGACGGTTCTAGGGATATCAAGAAATATCCCTCAAGAGAGAGTTCACCGGTCTGGGGACCTTCTAGAATGGACTGATTCTGAACCAGGGAAGAAAGGAGAATTTTCTGTAAGGGTAGGAATTTTCTGTAAGAGCTAAAGAAGAAATGGGTTAGGTGAAGAGGGTCCAGTGAGTAATTCGGGGATTACCAATGAATTGGGCCAGGACTGGGGGTTGCTAGGGAATGAGAGATTGAAGTGGAGGAGCCTCTGGAGCGGAAGATCCCCTAAAAGGGAGGAGTTTGTACTTGGGTCTGGGTGGCCAGCCACAGGCATGGACTTCAACTCTGGAAGATTCCATCCATCCATCTGGAGCCCCTCATCCCTCCTTACATCTCTGACATCCCCAAGTGATGTCTGCTTCTCTCCTTCCTCTCAAGGTCCCTCCTGCTGCGTGGCCTATGGCCAGCCTGGGGGCCACGTGGACCCGGCTCCACAGGCTGCGGCTTGATGCCCATGTGAGCTGGTCTGGTGGTGGTCAGCTGTCCGTCTGTTTGCGTCTCCTTTTCTCACTAACCTCCAAGCTTCTTGGGAAATTGGAGGAGGGGGCAGAGTATTCTAGTGTCTGGGGCATTGTCTGAGGAACCCTAGGCAGTGGAGGGTTGTGACTGATTTGGCGGAACACTAACAGGGGTCTGGGCCTGGGTCTCCAGGTGAAATCACTGTCTGCTTTTGTGTGAATCACCCTAAATCTGGGTCTGGTGGCTCAGGCCTGTCATCCCAGGTATCAGATAGACTGAGGCAGAAGGATGAAAAATTCAAAGACAACCTGGGAAACTAAGCAAGACTCTGTCTCAGAAATAAAAGGAAGTTTCTAGAAAGTCTGCCCAGAATCCTCCAGTAAGGGGCTAGGGGTGTGGCTCAGTGGTAGAGCACCTGCCTAGAATCCTCCAGTGAGGGGCTGGGGGTGTGGCTCAGTGGTAGAGCACCTGCCTAGAATCCCCCAGTGAGAGGCTAGAAGAGTGGCTCAGACATAGAATACCTGCCTAGCATGTGTGAGGCCCTAGATTCAATCCCTAATACCACTAAAGAAACAATAAAAAAAATCATCCTGAAACTCAGGCTTACGTTGGCATAAATAGAGGGCCACAGGCAAAGTTCTGGGTCTGGTACTGCCCTGCCTTACTGGGGTACCTGGGGCAGAATGATGTACTTCTCTGGGCCTCAGTGACCACATGTGTATCAGAAGCATAAATTCATGAGAACTCGTTCAATTCTAGCATACTCTTAGTTCTCAAATTAGTTTTTCCTAGTCCTTGGTAATCTGGGTCTGAAAAAAAAAAAAAAGACCACCTCAGCCAGGCATGGTGGCCCACACCTTTAGTCCCAGCACTCAGGAGGCAGCGGCAGGTGGATCTCTATGAGTTCAAGGCCAGCCTGGTCTACATAGTAAGTTCCAGGACAGCTAGAGCTACAGGGAGACCCTGTCTCAAAAAGACCAAAAAAAAAACAAACCAAAAAACCACCTCACTGACTCATGAGCCAGAGGCCAGACCACCATATTTGAGACGTGTCCCAGACAAGTCACATACCCCACCCATGGGCTGGAGATCCTAAAATGGTGGGATGCCCACACCTGCCTAGCTCCCACCTCAGCCCCTCTGTCCCAGAAGCCTCCTCCTCCCACTAACACACCTGTTTTCTTCCTCAGAATTAACTCCCAAGATGGGGCAGCATAGCTTCCATAACTACTTTCTTTTCTTTCCTCTGGGTCATAGCCTCCTGCCTTCAAACTAACTCTGGGCCAGCGGGGGGTAGCTGAGTGCAGGGTTGGGCCCAGGGGGTGGGGATAGGCTTGGGTAGAGACAGCTGGGGGTGTGGCTCAGTGGTAGAGCACCTGCCTAGAATCCCCCAGTGAGAGGCTAGAAGAGTGGCTCAGACATAGAATACCTGCCTAGCATGTGTGAGGCCCTAGATTCAATCCCTAATACCACTAAAGAAACAATAAAAAAAATCATCCTGAAACTCAGGCTTACGTTGGCATAAATAGAGGGCCACAGGCAAAGTTCTGGGTCTGGTACTGCCCTGCCTTACTGGGGTACCTGGGGCAGAATGATGTACTTCTCTGGGCCTCAGTGACCACATGTGTATCAGAAGCATAAATTCATGAGAACTGGTTCAATTCTAGCATACTCTTAGTTCTCAAATTAGTTTTTCCTAGTCCTTGGTAATCTGGGTCTGAAAAAAAAAAAAAAAGACCACCTCAGCCAGGCATGGTGGCCCACACCTTTAGTCCCAGCACTCAGGAGGCAGCGGCAGGTGGATCTCTATGAGTTCAAGGCCAGCCTGGTCTACATAGTAAGTTCCAGGACAGCTAGAGCTACAGGGAGACCCTGTCTCAAAAAGACCAAAAAAAAAACAAACCAAAAAACCACCTCACTGACTCATGAGCCAGAGGCCAGACCACCATATTTGAGACGTGTCCCAGACAAGTCACATACCCCACCCATGGGCTGGAGATCCTAAAATGGTGGGATGCCCACACCTGCCTAGCTCCCACCTCAGCCCCTCTGTCCCAGAAGCCTCCTCCTCCCACTAACACACCTGTTTTCTTCCTCAGAATTAACTCCCAAGATGGGGCAGCATAGCTTCCATAACTACTTTCTTTTCTTTCCTCTGGGTCATAGCCTCCTGCCTTCAAACTAACTCTGGGCCAGCGGGGGGTAGCTGAGTGCAGGGTTGGGCCCAGGGGGTGGGGATAGGCTTGGGTAGAGACAGCAGTGGCCAGGGGTCTCCTACTTCTTCCCTTTGGCCTGAAATACCTGGATCTTTGATTCTATGGGGTGAGGGGACAGAGAAGAAGGGCTAGGCCACATTCACAAATACTTGCAAGTAAGGAAGTTTGGTTAATGTGAGTTGTCCCATTTAAAAGTTTCATTCAGGGGCTGGAGAGATGGCTCATTGGTTAGGAGTACTGGCTGCTCTTGTGGAGGACCTGGGTTCAGTTCCCAGCACCCACATGGCAGCTAACAACCAACCTTAACTCCAGTTCCAGATGATTTGATGTCCTCTTCTGGTCTTCATGTGAAACTCTGCCCACATGCATCCACACAGAGAGACACATACACATAAATAAGATAAATCTTAAAAAAAAAAAAAAAAGAAAGAAAGCTTAATTCCAGGCCAGCAGAGGCTACAGGGAGACCCTGTCTCAAAAAACAAAACAAAACTAAACAAAAGCTTTATTTATAGGACTGGGGATGTGGCTCAGTTGGTAGAATACTTGCCTAGCATGCATGAAGCCCTGGGTTAAGTCCACAATACCACATAAATTTGGTGTGATCCTGTATACCTGCAATCCTAGCATAGAAGGTTAGAGGCAGGATCAGCAGTTCAAGGTCATCCTCAGGCTACATAGAAGGTTTAAGGCCAGACTGGGATACATGAGAGACTATCTCAAAGAAAAAAAAAGGTTTCACAGGCAGGAAGATTGTTGAGAAGGAAGGAGGAAGGAGGAAGGAAGGAAGGGAAGGAAGGAAGGAAGGAAGGAAGGAAGGAAGGAAGGGAGGGAGGGAGGGAGGGAGGGAGGGAAGAAGGAAGGGGAAAGAGGAAAAGAGAAGAAAAAGACAGGAGAATCAGGAATTCAAGGCCAGCCTTAGCTACACATGAGTTTGGGGCCAGTCTGCACTATAGAAGACTCTCAAAAAATAAATAAATATGGCTAGAGAACTGGCTCAGAGGTTCAGAGTGCACACTGCTCTTGCAGAGGACCCAGGTTTAGTTCCCAGCACCCACATGGCAACTCACAACCATCTATTACTCCAGTTCCAGGGAATCCAATGCCCTCTTCTGGCCTCTGTGGGCATTGTCTGCACAGGTGCTCTTGCATACATGTAGATAAAACACTCATACACACTCATAAAATAAAATCAAATTTTAAAAATGTTTAAAAATGAAACTGGCAGGATACACAGACATTTGGAAGGGGAGTGTCCCTGAGTCTTGGCCTCAGGGGAAACTGAGGCAGGAAGCACTGGCCACTGCTGGGATGGGGACTGAGGCCTGAGTGAGAACAAGAGTGGGCAGAACTCCAAGCTCAGAGTGGCCTATAATCCACTTTTTCTTCCCTGCAGTGCCCGAAAGCGTCCCATCCCCTACTACCGACCCAGCCCCTCCTCTTCCTCCAGCTGCATGAGCAGTGATTACTCAAGCCGGAGTCACAGCCGCAGCCCCAGCCCTGACCACAGCCATGGGAGCTACAGCAGTCGCAGTCCTGGGACCCATAGCCGCTCTCGCAGTCCCTCCAGGAGCCCCAGTCCCAGTTACCACAGCCGGAGCAGCTCCGAGAGTGGGGGCTTCTGAACCCAGATGAACTCATCTGGGGGTGGAGGCCCTGGCATAAGGAGAGACCAGGGACCTGGGACCTGGGGAGGAAGGGATTATACCCCCATACTGCTACAAGGAAGTTCCGGGGTGGGGGCAGCATGTGGGCAGGTGGGACTAGGAAAGACCTTCCAGGGCTGGTATCCCACCCATTAAGAGGAATTAGATTGTGCTGTTCCTAAAGAGTGCCCAACCCATGTCCTGCCCACCCACCATGTCCAGGGAACAAAGAGCCTTTGCGAACACGGGTTGAATCCCCGTGCCCTACTTCCTGCTTGAGGCCAACTCACCAGCCTGGGGCCCATGTATGGCACAAGAGTCCACAATCAGCTGTCACCTCAATTCAGCTAAGTGGACCCTGGCACAGCTTGGAAGGTGCCAAGCCTAGGACTTTTCTTCTCTCTCTCTCTCTCTCTCTCTCTCTCTCTCTCTCTCTCTCTCTCTCTCTCTCCCTCTCTCTCTCAATATCTCTGTCTCTCATGGGGTGGATCAGAAAATGACAACGCAAGTCAGATCTAGGCTAGATGGAAGGAAAGACAGCCTTGTTATACCACCAGGCAGTATGGGGAATTCACATTTGATCTCATCTCTCTCTCTCTCTAGCCCTTAATCCAAGCCCTAGGCCAAAGCCACACCAGTCGGGCCTTCTGTAGGACAAGAGGTGGCAGATATAGGCCACATCTGTATCCAACACTGAAGTCAAAGATGAGGTCAAAGGCTAGGGATGTAGCTCAGTTGGTCAAGTGCTTGCCTAGCATGCATGAAACCCTGGGTTCGATTCCCAATACTGCATAAAACTGGGCATGCTAGTGCATGCCTGTAATCCCAGAACTCTGGAGGTGGAGGCAGGAGGATCAGGAGTTTAAATTCATCCTCGGCTACATAGTAAGTTTGAGTCCAGCCTGGGATACTGTCGACCCTGTCTTAAAAAATTAAAAAAAAAAAAAGACAGGGATTCGGGTCAGAAGGTTAAAAATAAAAGAACGCGGGTAGAAAGCAGAGGAATTTTTGAGCATGAAGCCAAACAATGGAGTCAGATGGTCAAGCAGGTAGAGGGAAGCTGGGAGACAGATACATGCTGTCTGACTGGGACATGGGCCAAAGGATAGCTCATGGTCACAGGCCTAGGCTAACACACAGTGAGCTTCCTGCCTGCCCTAGGAAGGCCTCCAGACCAGGCTTTGGCAGGACAAGGTCAGCCAGGACTCCCAGAGTAAGGGTGATAGGCTCCAGTCAAAGCCTAGGGCCTGGAGTATGATGGGGCAGCAGTGGTCCCCTCTCCAGCCCTCTTCTGCCGCACCCAGCCCCCTCCTGCCGGGGCCCTCAGGGATCTCAAAGTCTTCCTTGGCCCAGCGGGGCAGATGCCCTGGGCTCTGGTGGGGGGGGGTCTGGGGTCTGGTCCGGGTTCCCATCGCTCTGGGTTTCCCCCTCCCTCTTTTTCCGCGGTGCGGATTTAAAAAAAAAAAAAAAACAAACAAACAAAAAAAAAAAACTGGACTCTAATAAATACAGTAGGTGCCCGGATGACAGACTGAGACCAGGCTTTTGTGACTGGGGGTACCTGGGGCCAATTGGGAAGGGCGGAAAGGGCCTGGGCTCAGATTCCTCTGAGGACTGAGTGGGGCTCAGATTCCTTCTGAGGGACTCAGAGAGAAGAGCTGACATCAAGGAGGCAGTTCCCATCCTGTCCCAGCCCTCTCTGAGCAAGAGACTGTGTAGCCCCTTGCAGCTCAAGTGTGCAGGAAGATGGAGCCAAGGAGTCCCCTTCCATCCTGGAAGCCTGTGGGCTTTTTGTTTGTCTGCTTCAATTTATTTATTGTGCATATGCGTGTAAGATGCAGGTGTGCACCTGCCACAGTGCACATGTGGAGGTAGGAGGACAATTTCATGGAGTCAGTTCTCTCCTAACACCTTTAAATAGGTTCTGGAGCTCAAATTCAGGTCACCAAGCTTTTGAGGCAAGTGCTTTTTTACCCACCAAGTCATCTTACCAGCCCATATTTTATTGTTTTGTTTCTTTATTTATTTATTTTTGGTCTTTTTGAGACGGGTCTCCCTGAAGTTCCAGCTGGCCTGGAACTCACAGAGATCACCCTGCCTCTACCTCCCAAGTGCTGGAATTAAAGTTTCTTTGTTTATTTGAGACAGAGTCTCATAATATAACCTTGGCTGGCCTGGCAAACCAGCCTGGACTCTAGGTCTCTGTGTGTATGGTTTGTGTAGTTTGTGTATGGTGTGCACAGTGTGTTTGTATGTATGTAATGTGTATAGTGTATATGTGTATAGTGTGTCTTTAGTATGTGTGTAGTGTGTGTATGGTGTGTGTGTAGTGTATGTATGGTGTGTATATAGTGTGTATGTATGTAGCGTGCATGTAGTGTGTGTGCATTGCCTGTGCATGTTTGAGCATGCGCATGTGTGTGTACAGGACTGAACTCAACATCAAGTGTCTTTACTGTGTTTGGCCTTCTCCATCCTAATTTGAGGGAGAGTCTGTCACAAAACCTTGAGCTTGCCAAATACTAAACTAACCTGCCAGTGAACTCTGGGATCCTCCTGTCTCCACCTCCCCAGCACTAGGGTTATAGCACCTGCCACCACACCTGGCTTTTTCATGGGTGCTGGGAATCCGAACCTGGGTCCTCAGGCATTTTACTGATTGAGCCATCTCCCCAGCACTTAACCTGCCTTGAATCAAGCATCTTGGAAGTATGGAAGAAACTAAGCACCTACCCCTCAGTGGAATAAGTCCTACATGCTTTGTGCCAAATTATATTGGATCTCACAGACACACTAGAGCAATTTGCAGTCCCCTACTTAAGAGCCTTGGGGGGGGGGGCTGGAGGGATGGCTCAGTCCTAAGAACACTGGCTGCCCTTGCAGATGACCCGGGTTCAATCCCCAGCACCCACAGGATGACTAACAACCATCTGTAACTCCAGTTCTAGGGGATCAAACATCCTCTTCTTCCTCTGTGGGTACCAGGCATACACATAGTACACAAATATACAGGCAGGCACAACACTCATACCCCTAAACAAATCTTTAAAAAGAAAGAACTTCGATCCAGCTGGGCATGGTGGCCCACACCTTTCATCCCAGCTCTCAGGAGGCAGAGGCAGGTGGATGTCTATGAGTTCCAGATCAGCCTGGCTACATAACAAGTTCCAGGCCAGCCAGGGCCTAGAAGTGAGAAGAAAAAAACTGATCCAGCTAGATGTGGTTTGGTATGCCTGTATCTCAACATTCAGAGGCTGAGGCAGGGGAATTGAGAGTTGTAAGCCATCTTGAGTCTCTGTAGAAAGGCTATCTCAAATAAATCATATGCACAACATCAGCTGAGGATGTAGTTGATGCGACCCTTTTCTCCTTGCCTCTGGTGAGCAGTGGCCTTTGGTCCAGTACCCACAGCCTGGAGCTTTCAGCATATGACCCTTTTTCCAGTTTCTTCTTCCTGAAACTGAAGGGGTCATGTGATGTGGCCATTGGCCAGCAGCTGTTTCTGATCCAAGAAGCTTGTTTGAAGAAGTGCTGGTGATATCTCCTTAATCCTTTAGACAAGTTCAAAAACAAGTTAAGGATGTGGCTTAGTGGCAGAGCACCTGCCTAGAATCTCCCAGTGAGAGGCCGGGGGCAGGGCTCAGTGGTAGAGCACCTGCCCAGCCTATGTGAATCCCTGGGTTACATCCCCAACAACACACACACACACACACACACACACACACACACTCACACACACACACAGTGACAATGGGCTAATGGGATGGTGTGGTAGTAGTCAACTGCCATCCCAGCAGCATTTGGTAGGCAGAAGCTAGAAAATCAAGAGTTTGAGGCCAACCTGGGCTGCATAGCCAGACCTTGTCTCAAAGAAAAAACAAAAATATCAAAAACCTGGTATCAGGGAGCCACCACTTCCTGAATGGGGACAGGAAACACACAAAGGGTGGCATAAAATTCAACCTCTCACTGAGCCTGGCAAGTGGGCCTGGGTATACTACTCACCACCTGCCCCTTCCCATACACACATCTGACTCCCTTTCTTTTTAGGCCAACTGCCTTCCTCTTCTGAATTCCACAGGCAGGCAGCCCCAAATTGGGTGACAGTTTTCCTTTCTGTCTTTTTTTACCAGTGGTCCAACTCTCCTCCTCCCTCTTCCCCATTATTTTTCTTTCTTTTTTATTTTAATTTTTTAAAACTTTTTTTGGTCTATTTGAGATAATTTTTTTTAACTTTTAAAAATTTTTTAAAATTTTCTTTATGTGTATGAGTGTATTGCCTGCGTGTATGTGAGTGCACCTCCATAATGCAATGCTGCAGAGGTCAGAAGAGGGTGTCAGAGTCCCCTGGAACTGGAGTTAAGGACAGTTCATAGCCTCCATGTGGGTGCTGGGAATGGAACCGGGTCCTTTACAAGAGCAGTCAGTGCTCTTAACTGCTGAGCCATCTCTCCAGCCCCTATTTTAATTTTTTAATATTTACTATTTTACACGAAGGCTGGGGAGGTGAGGCACATGCCATGGCATGTGTGGAGGTCAGAGGGCAACTTTGGACAATCAGTTCTCTCCTACCATGTGGGTCCTGGGATTGAACTCAGATTGGCATCAGACACTTTAACCTGGTGAGTCATTTCACCACTCCCCCCCCCCACCACCACCACCTTTTTTTGTTTAGGATCTTGTGTACTCTAGGCTTGCCTCAAATTCCTCATGTAACCAAGGCCAACCTTGAACTCCTCCTCCTTTCTCAGCTTCCTGAATGGAAGGATTATGGATGTGCACACCACACCCTCTTCCTTTCTATTTTAGGGAAGCGGGTTTGTTGTTATTTGTGATTGTTTTGTTTGAGGCAGAGTCTCCCTGTAGACCCAGCCAGCCTGGAACTCAATATGTAGACCAGGCTGGCCTCAATCTCATAGAGATCAAGCTAGTCTGGAACTCACAGAGCTCTGCCTCCTTTTGCCTTCCGAGTGCTGTGACTAAAGGCCTGCACCACCAAGCCTGGCCCAAACACTTCTTGAACCCTGCCAGTGTGCTGAGCTCAATTCCCACCTCTGAGGACACCATTCTAAATGAAAGACACAGGCCTCCCTGCCTCCCTATGAACCAAGCACCTGAGTGTCCACCAGCCTTTCAGGTGATTCCAACCTAGAACCTTCCATCCTTTCCCCTGCTTCAGTCCACATCCATTAAAGATGACCCATGAGCCCTCTCCACCTCCACAGGCCCACGTGAACTCATTGCTACCCCTGAGGTACCTCCTACTCCATAGAACCGTAAGGATCCCCGGATGTAGCTGCTATGTCCTGCGCTGCATTATGGGACCTTGCTTGAGTCTCCAGGCTCTTGTCCAGGTTATTCATTTCTGGGCATGTCTATCCACAAAGCTCTGAGGTTCTGAGAAGGAAGCCATGTCTTCTTTCAGCATTCCCACCCCCACGCAGGGACAGTCACCTTTGAAATGTTTGATGAATGAATAAACAAAAAGTGTGTAAGCCACAAAATGAGCAATTCTAGAAGGTCTGGGGGGAAGGCTTGGAATCGATGGGACGCATTTGCAACAAAAGACACCAGAGGGCGACAGAGAGTGAGGAAAAGCGGCTTAAGGGACAGCTTCCTGGGCGCGGCTTGGAGCCTGGCGGTCCGCGGAGCCCTCCTAGGACACGTAGCAGAGAAGGATGGGAACTAACTGGGCCCCTGGTCTCCATCGACTCAGGGTCAGCCTGCTCTCTGCCCTGGCTTTGCGGGACAGGGAAAAATCGTACCAGGATCAGGACAGGAAAACAGGAAACAGCCATCCCCGCCTCCGTTGCCTGGAGACAGGGAGGGGCCGACCTTCC